TCTGATGACCGAACTGACCTAATGACCGAGGAACCGAACCGATCCGGTTCGGTCTGACCGAATGCCCAGGGTGAACTCTCACTAAAGGTTTTCTAAATGAAAGTTTTATAATTTATTGTCATAGTTTATATAACAATGCTTCATCATGTCATGAATAGATATTTATTTTTGCTGTAATTCTGATAACATGTTTATATTCCGTTATTAAATTAAATTGTTCATAACTCTAATAATATGATTACATTTCCGCTGTTATAACAATAAAAATTATACTCTGATGTTGTATTAAAAGTGATGTAAGAAATGGTTAAGAATGATGTAAGCTTTATTCTCTCATTTGTGATCCTGATGTAAAAATATGGATTTTTGGGTTCTCCCCTGAGGTGTGCCTGACGGGGCCGTGTAATTTGGTGTCCTCACTTGAGTGCTTAGTGTCTAATGGAGGACGAGCACTCCTAGGAGACATTAGATTAGACGGTTCTACCACACTCATGCTCTTGGCACTATATATAGATAACACCAATTTACAAGCGACCCCTCGATAGGGTGAATTGACAAGTCACTACACTAAACCCTATTGGGCCTCTTCAAAGGGGGAGTTGGTCCATATACCACAAGGGCTTCCCCAACACAGTAGCCCCTTAGCTACTAGGCTATATCCGGTATTACATGACCTAATAGATGCTCATACAAGAAGAGACACAATACAACTCAAACCTTGGTTGTGAGGATCGCCCTTCGCAACCTACACGTGTGCGTCTCACTAAAAACTCTATTGCCAAAACCCTATGGGAAAAAAGGTCATGGAGAAAAGAGCATGCGCACGACTCTAGCCTATACATGTTCTAACTTCCGAGGCTTCTAGCTCCAAGTGTCTTGATGTTGATTTTTCCGATGTCTTCATTTTGGGCTTCAGCTTCTTTCGCTTCTATGACATGGTTCATCGGCTTCACCCAATGCATAGGTCTTTGCCTCCATGGCCTCCTACCGAAGACCCTCCTGCAAAGGTGTTTGACAAAGATGATTTTGGTGTAGACGACGAAGGTGTCAGTGAAGCCCCCTTGTGCCGACGTGTTAGCGAAGGCCCTCCTATAAAGGAATTTGGCAGAGGCGAGCTAGTATAGTCACCAAAGATGTTGGTGAAGGCGATGTCATTTTAGACATCGAAGGTGTTGGAAAGACCCTCGTGGCGAAGGTGTCGATGGAGGTGGTGTTGGTGTAGATGCCAAAGTTGTTAGTGAAGTTCCTTTTTTCTAAAGGATGGGAGAAGTCACGTGAAAATGCACCTAAGTTGATAAGGTGCATTTTTCAGGGACTTAGGTTGAGCGTTGTAGCTTTGTCGAATATCAACTTGTTAGCAAGTATTTTGATATTGAAAAAGACATTGTCTTTCCACTTCCTACAAAAGATGGCTAGTCATTTGGTATAAGCCCCAATGCCTGATTGTGGATAGGTCTTCGTCAGGTGAAGTTTCTTACAACGAAGGTCCCGATGCCTAATTATGGGTAGGTCTTTGTCCAGAGAAGCTGTTCGAAGCTTTTGAGAGTGACGGCCCCGATGCCTGATTGTGGATATGTCTTTATCAGGTTACCATGGTGCCATGCATTTATGTAATGCATGTATGTGATGATGCAAATGAATGCATTTGCTTAAAAAGATTACGAGGGTTAAACTTATTATGCGCCCTTGTAAAATGATGGTTGTGCTTGAGCAAAGGTTAAACTCTACGCATAAAGAGTAATGCTCTCGAATGAGAGGGTTATAGGCTTATAGTTTTGGATGGCTAGCGAAGGCTATCATTCAAGAACCTGCATGGGTATAGATATTACTTGTAGTATTAAACGTAAAAGGATTAGTTTCCTGCGAAGGTTAGTTCAAATAAAATTTGGTTGTGCATATTATAAAAACCTAAAAATGAAAATCAAACAATAAAACCTGCAAAAAGAGAAAAAATGTCAGCTTTAGAGAGCTCAAAGGTTTGGTGGTTGCTTAAGGTTGATGGTTGATGGAGTCTGATAGTTTTTGTGGGCCACTGGTGTCCGTTGTAATAAAGAGCAATGGCTGGCAGATTCTGATAATGTTCAATGACTTGGCACTTGATGAAACCCCAATGCGAAGGCCAATATTTCTAAAATACGAATGCCATTCGACCATTATCTGAGAAGATCATCTATCCAATGAAGACAAACGTCTGATGAAAGCCCAAAAGCCATTTGAGAGATGTATTAGCGAAGGTCAAATATTCTATAAAGGCCACCGACTAATGAGATCCACTGACTAGTGAGAGCCACTAACTAGCGAAGGTCACCGATTGATGAAGACCATTGATTGATGAAGTCCACTAACTGGTGAAGACCGTTGATTAATGAAGGCCGTTGATTGATTAAAACCACTATATGACAAAATCTTCTGATTGGTGAAGGCCACTGACTAATAAAGACCATTACTAACGAAGGCTCCTGGTTGATGATAACCAATGATAGATAAAGACCACTGATTGATAAGATCTACTGACCAGTGAAGGCCACCAACTAATGAAGATCACTGACTAAAGAAGGCTGCTGACTGATGATAACCAATGATATATGAAGATCACTGACTGATAAGATCTACTGACTGGTGAAGGCCACTGACTAACGAAGGTTGCTGACTGATGATAACCAATGATAGATGAAGACCACTAACTGATGATATCTACTAACTAATGAAGGCCACTGACTAATGAAAACCATTGACTGATCAAGACCACTGAGGTATCTGATGAAGGTTGAATATTTAATGAGAACTGTCGATCGATGGAGAATGTTGACTGATGCAAACTCAGGAGCTATTGAACAGATATGTGACAAAGGCTAAACACTTAATGGGAACCGCTAACTGATGGAGACTGATTTTGATATGAGACGGTGAAAACGTGCATACAATAAGTCAAATATATTCTATGGGAAGGTTAGCCTGGGAGGGTAAAAGATACTTACAGTGACGGTGACCTACATGTTAATAGCAGTAAATAGATTCTATGAAATAAATAAAAAATGTTTTCAGTTAGCTAGATAGGGCTGAGCATGTATAGATGGTTAGGCCATGCTTTGGAGTAGCAAAGGGTTGCAACAGCTTTTCTAGTCACCTTGGTGACTTGCTGTGCGGAAGGTTGGTTTTCGAAAAATTTCCTTGAGAGGTGAAGGTAAAATCAAGAATGTGATAAAATAAATCACAAGAGCAAAAAATATTAGGCATTATAATATGGTGAGAAAATACTCACTTAGGCTAGTTTGGTTCTTGCATGAAGATAGTAACTGGCATGTAAAATAATAGTCGTATAATTACGAAGGGGTGAAGGTTATGACATTACGAAGCATATGTTAAATATAATATGCACAAGGAGTAGATTGGATTGCCAAAGGCTTCTCGCAAAGACTTAGGCCCCATTCGTTTCACTGAAAAAATAAGTTGAAACATTGTTCCGGCTGATTTGTTGTGAGAGAAAAAACACTGTTTCGGCCGAAAAGACAAGCCAAAAAGTACGAATTATAAGACAAACGAACATGGCCTTAAATCCCACGTTCCAGAACTAATGTTGGTTCTTCGAAGGCTGCACCCCTTTGACATAAATGATAAGTATCTCTTACCCCTTCCTCATTAGACTATATTCGTTTGCATAACAAACACTAACCTTTTATACAAGCGTCAAAAATGTCCTCTCGCGGAAACATACTACGAAGTATTGCATAAGTTTGATTTACCTCCCTCAATTAGAAAACTAGTTTTTTAGACTCCTTCAATTATTGAAACCGTTTGATTTAGTTCCACGAACGGTTTGAGAGTGGTTTTTAGGGCGCCAGGTCAACCACGAGGAAGGTAAATTGGACTTTCGTGATAGTTCAGGAAGGTCAATTAGACTTTACATAAAAAATTATAGAAATATTTTTCAAAAAAATCCAATTGTTTTTCTGAAATAAATATGCATTTAAAAATACTAAAATATGATTTATTATTATAAAATTTGTTTTAACTCAAAAATATGAAACCAGCTTCATATTTTTTTCCTAAAATCATACTCTGCCTTTTTTGTTCCTTTCTTAAAATTATTTAAATCTTATATGGTCTCCTAAAATTTAAGACTAGGCCAAATACAGAATTTGACATCACATATTTAGCGGGAGGAAATTTGGACAGGACGAGGATGTTGGACTTCATGTGCTTCCTAAAATCATGATAATCTTGCCTAACTCAAAAAAATATAGAGCATGATTTTAGAGAAAAAAATATGAGACTAGTTTAATATTTTTCTAAGTTGAAATAATTTTTCTAATATTAAATCATACTTTAATATTTTGAAATACAAATTTGTTCTATAAAATTGTTTTTATATTTTTTTGAAAACTTATTTATACAAATTTTTAGGAGCATGATTTTAGAAAAATTGTGAAATATGTTTCATATATTTTTCGAGTTAAAACAAATTTTCTACAATTTTTATTATATTAAAATCAGATTTTAGTATTTTTAAATGCATACTTATTCTAGGAAAATATTTAGATTTTTTTTTTGAATATTTTATTTTTATAATTTTTTATAAAGTCTAATTGACCTTCTTTAGCTACCGTGAAAGTCCGATTTACGTCCCTCATGGCTTGTACATGTAAGATGACTGGCCACGTGAGCAAAACCAATCTCAAACCGCTCACATCGGACGGTTTCAATAGTTGGAGAAATTAAAAAAACTTTTTCCAAAAGACTAAAACCGTGAGAGATTCAATTCTCTCGGCCCAATATATAATATTCTCCTCTCGGCCCAAACCTAAACACCCCTCGCGTTTCGTCGCGGCGGGGACGTGTCCCGATCCTCCAATCCACGAATTCATGTCCAACTAGCCAGATCCAATAAACAGCGAGTCCCAATAGCCAACACGAGACAGCACCCGCGATCCCCTCTCTCCCTCCCCAAATTCGCCGGCGGTGAGCGGATCTAATCGGCGGCGGCAGACCGGGGCGGCGTGATGGCTGGGCAGAACCAGCGCCTCAACGTCGTGCCGACGGTGACGATGCTCGGCGCCATGAAGGCCCGGCTCGTCGGCGCGACCCGCGGCCACGCGCTGCTGAAGAAGAAGTCCGACGCGCTGACGGTCCAGTTCCGCGCCATCCTCAAGAAGATCGTCGCCGCCAAGGAGTCCATGGGCGAGACGATGCGCGCCTCCTCCTTCTCCCTAGCCGAGGCCAAGTACGTCGCCGGCGACGGCGTCCGCCACGTCGTCCTCCAGTCCGTCCGCACCGCGTCCGTCCGCGTCCGGTCCCACCAGGAGAACGTGGCCGGGGTCAAGCTCCCCAAGTTCACCCACTTCGTCGACCCCGCCGCGGCCTCCGGGGGCCCCTCCAACGCGTCCCCGAGCCTCACGGGCCTGGCCCGCGGCGGGCAGCAGGTCGCCGCCTGCCGCGCCGCGCACGTCAAGGCCATCGAGGTGCTCGTCGAGCTCGCCTCGCTGCAGACCTCCTTCCTCACGCTCGACGAGGCCATCAAGACCACCAACCGCCGCGTCAACGCGCTCGAGAACGTCGTCAAGCCCAGGATCGAGAACACCATCACCTACATCAAGGGGGAGCTTGACGAGCTCGAGCGCGAGGACTTCTTCAGGCTCAAGAAGATCCAGGGCTACAAGAAGAGGGAGATCGAGCGCCAGATGGCCGCCGCCAAGCTGTTCGCGGAGGAACAGCTCGCCGAGGATCTCGCGCTCAAGAGGGGCATCTCCGTGGGGGCTGCGGCAAATCTGCTGGTTGCTGGTGGGGAGAAGGACGACGACATCATCTTCTGATCACTCCTTCCATGGTCATCCAATCATTCAAACGGTGCGTATCATCATTCATCAACACATTGTCCTCTTATTCTGCATCTGGGATCAGAAAACTTGCACGATATGTGTCTGGTGCGGTGGTTTCTTTCGTTCCGTGAATAATGCTGCTGTAGTTCCTTTGATTGTACCAGTATCAGTTGGGCATTGCGATTAATTTTTACTTTTTTAGATGGATCCAAGGTACCTTCCCTAAATTTCACATAAGGTCCAAAAGTATTCTTGCTTGTGATAACCGATCTAACTATATAGTAGCTGTTGATTGATTGCAACAAGATATGCTAATCACAATCACATTGCTGATATTTTTTCATGCTTTTTGTTTCATTTTACATCACGTTTATAGAAAGGTTGAAAACAGCACAGTACACTTGCAAGTGTTCCTGCTTGAGTTAATTTATTTGAACTCTATAGATCTGTGTGTTCATGTAAACAAGGCATGGTAATCACAAACACATGATTGATTTAGTCATGCCTATGATATTGCTAATGCATTTCATTTGTAGAGAGAGTGGACTAACTCTTTAGGATGTTAGCAAACAAGACCTTCACCTGATAATAATGTGTCTGATGTAAGTGGTGATTGCCCATTGGCAATTAAGATATGCTGAGCTTCCTATCATTAAGTGCACGTCTAGATTGATCAGGATCTCTGTGCTAGAAATGAGGATGACATGTATTATTAAATCAGTAACTATAAATAGATTAGCATTTTATCTTAAAATGTTGAAGATTGGCCATTGGCAATTAACGTAAGTGATAGGGTACTTCCAACAGATTAGCGATTTATCTTAACTGCAAGCTAGCAGCGGTACTTAGAGCATTGTGCAGCAGCACAGTTCCAGCATCTAGTGTTCATTGCAAAAGGTTAAAAAAAATTAATACCTATATATGCATTAGTTTCTTGTTGAAGAATGTTATGTTTACACTGAACTTTTAAGTTTATCAAATTGCTGCAAGTGACATATAGAGAGTAAGTTTGAGGAGCCATACTATATTGCCATATAGGGAGGGAGTGCTGGGAAGGAAGTTAGCACCAGTGTTGCACCTATAGATTTTATGCGCATAATAAATCCCAATTGATTACATGTGTGACTCAGGATATATATAGTTTAAGTATGGGTTATGAGCACCTGTGTACTATGTTAATACTGCAACTTGCTTCTTGAACTTTCAGTAGCAGTTCAGTTTTGATCTTTGGAGTATGTCTTAGTTTGATTGTACCAAAATTTTAGTGGGCACGAGTCTATTTCGTTATAAGAATCCACTTATACTCTTGGTATCACAGATCCAGTGGGCATTCAGTCTGCACCTTGGTCTGATCTGAAATCTAGTTATAAAAATATTTTAATTTACTTTGATTTGACTCTTGATATAATATAGACCATTTTCCATAAAAGAAATGAATTTGAGTATAAGACCAATTACTTTTGCCATAGCTGTATACATCAGTTTTTGTCATAGCAATCAAGTTTTTGTTTCCATTGCTTTATCCAGAAGTTTCTAATGGATATAAGTGGTTATGGTTAATAAGCGAAATGGTTCATAGCTAGACTCCTGAATAGCACCTCCAGCGCCTAGGTTTGACTCCCCGTGGGAGCGAATTTCAGGCATGGTTAAAAAAAACTCCCTTGCCAGCAACCCATAAAATGGTGGCAGGGCGCCAGCCTATGGTAGTCAGCCTGTGTGAGAGGTGGTCCTACCTAGGGATTGTGCCAGGGCGCCTGAACCAGGCGGTTGTGAGCTTGTGGCCACTGGCCTAGGTTACGGTGCGGTGCTATAGGGTCCGCACTGTTAGGGTTCGGGCTAGGTTACGGTGCGGCGCTATAGGGTCCTACTGTCAGGGTTCAGGGCTGTTTCTCGGTCACTTGAAGACTCTGGTTTCTTCTTTCAAACAATATACCTTCCCTGCTGGCTGAGTTTTTGTCATGGTTATTAGTAAGATCTTGTATACTTGACTTGCTGGAGCCATATCTTTGATTTTGGCAGATGGGCACTCCCCATTTGCCTGCTTAAGGCAGTGCTGTTTACTGTGCCTCGTTTGCATTTCAAATGCTCCACATCAGACATGGAATTAGTCTATTTCATTTCCAAGTTTTAATTGATTCCTTCTCCTTGCAGTGGCAGAAACAATAAGTTGATGCTGGAGCTCCAGAATTGTATCTGTTTATAGAGTGATGGAGATTTTGTTTCAGTAAGTAGTCTGGAGTCTAGCCATCCAAGACCCTCAATAATCTGTATCTGGAAACCAAACATTGCCATGGAACTTTTACGGAGCGTTATGTGGTGTTATGTGCAGCTGGTGTAGAAAATTCAATTGGACCGTATTTCCTGTCATGTTCCTTTTAGAAAGGTGTGTGCGGTGTTTTGCCGCACAGCACCTGCATTCTGAAGTTGCACAGTATTTGCTTTTGCACCTGCATTTTATAACAGATTGTTGTTTAGAATATTTCGTGTATGACCATGGGAATGTATATTTGGTGCCAAGCCGTTACGAGATGATGAAGCTGAAAATACGATTCGTTGGTATCATGCCGTTACGAGTTGATGAAGCTGAAAATACGATTCGTTCATGTTTGCTTGATTCCGCTTCCTAGCTTGCCGGATGTGACGCCATGCCCAGAATACCAATTGACACGAACTGTGCTTTCTGTTATGTTTCTCATTGGATTTCACAACCGCTTATTGGTGATCATTCCTATTGGTGCTTCAACACTCGCCTCGCTGTCAGGGGCACACATTTTCTATGCTAAACTTGACACTTGACAAAAACCAACGTTGATACAAAATCATCAATCATTCTGGCGGTGTGTAAAATGCTGCGCGGTATGCAATGTGCTGATTGCTGGTGTACACCACATGGGTGTCGTTGCTCTCACAATCATCAGCAACTCCACGAGCAAAGATTCTATTTTCTACACGCGTAGTACCAATTTCCTCCGTATGGGAATGAAGTCGATGAACAGAAGGGCCTCAGGTAATTGCTTGTTGAGCGGCCCTGTGTTGAAACTAGCTTTCTGCCAACAAAGGTATGTTGACTAGCTCTCAGCCAACAACGGTGGAACAAAGCTGAGATTCTGGAGAGTCTGCTCAAAGATGTGACCTACTCTCAGCAAATTCCCCTGGATAAAATGACAGAAGTTATTTAGTGGATTCTCTACTCGCTGCGCCTGAATTCAATGCATGAAACGAAAGTAGAATTATGTAGATCCTGAAACAACATGGAGCAGTCTCCAGTTCTAAACGTAAGCAACACCGCTACTTTACCTCACTGAATTGAGATCCGATCATCTGAAGTCCAACTGGGAGCCCTGCAGGTCCACCTTCAACAAATCCACAAGGCACAACCAATGCAGGAAGCCCGGCCAAATTAACATTGACCTACATAAGTCATAAAATTTGCGACCATTTCATATTTCTATCATGAGTAAAACGTCACAAAATGAGTACCATATATCAAAGAGAATTTCATGTCAGCAGGCACTTCAGAACAGAGTCCAAAGAAGAGAAAAGTGAAATCAACAAAAGACAACAAAGTATCTAATACCGTCATGATATCTCCTGCGTACATGGCTAATGGATCATTTATCTTTTCACCTGCCAAAAAGAATTGAGCTATCAATCCTAAATAAATCAGGGAAGGGGGTCATACTTATGAGCAGATTGTAACATACCTATCTTGTAGGCTGCTGATGGCGCGGCTGGTGAAATTAGAATGTCATATCTTTCCAAAGCATCTTTGAAGCTTTCATTAACCAGTGTCCTCACCTACTACAGTGCATGTACTTCAGTACGTACTTTCAGTGGCGTCAAATTGCGTAGTAGTAAGACAAGTAAATACAAACACTGAATGCCGTATCTTCCAAAGCATCTTTGAAGGTTTCAGTGTCCTCACATACTACAATGCATGTATTTTACTACTTTTGGTGGCATTGAACTGTGTCATAAAATAATAAAATACAAATATTGAACTGGGTGCCACTGCTCTGCAATTACCTGTTGTGCTCGTTTGTAGTATGCATCATAGTACCCAGCAGAAAGAGCATAGGTTCCCATCAAAATTCTCATTTTGACCTGGAAAGAATGATCGAAATTGTTTCACCATGTTACTCAAAATGAAAACAAGCATTTCAAATACAAAAGATCCAAACGCTATCCAATACTGCAGATCAAAATACCATACTATGTGCGTATATATACTATAATACATAAATATATGGTCACATTCCAATTAGCACAATGTAACTAACAAGACATGCCAACAACTGGCAGACCTACATGGGGCAGTATTGTCATCCCCACAACGGAAGTTTGCAAGCGTGGCCTCAATTCACAACAGCCAAACCTGTCTTTAATTTCAAAAGCTTTGTTTAACGAGGAACCAGATATGTTTTCTAGATTAGCAATTTATCTTCTTTGCAAATGGAGTGGAGCATATAATTGTTGTTTTTTCATTGTAATACTCAAGATTTAGTGCCTATACAATATCATAAAAATATAAAAAAGCAAAAGAAGTCAGTCAAAATCTATGGATAGCATGACTAACCCCTAAGCTACGATGACATGGGACACATGCATAGTACTACACAATGTGACAGTTCCTAATCAGATTGATCACTTTGCTAAGCTACATGACTACATCTAAAGACATCATGAGTAAATATTGAAAAGACAACTGATGAGTATCCTAGTGGAGTATGGTATGATATATTGGTAACTGAGAATATTGTACCTCATGACCCAAACCATTAGCCCGGGACTCTCCATAAAGATCATTCAAGTCATCAGCTGAAACCTGTCTTCCATACCTGAAAACAGTACTCCATGGTGTAAATCCTCCGATACATTGAAAATACAGCGGAAAGAATAAGGTTTAGCTACAGCAAGAATGCAAGATCACCTGATACCATCGTAGCGTGATAGATTAGAAGAAGCTTCAGATGAGGCTAGTATGTAATATGCTG